GTGCCGTTTACACAGTCGTAACCTCGAGGACAAACCACGCATGCACCATAGCGATCAAGACGATAATGACCCAAGAGACAGAAACATGCTCTGAATCCCGCAAAGACTTTCAGATTTGTCCCTGTAGAGAAAGAGGAATACCTTTTCAGCAGACTTGTCCGTAGAAACAAACAAACAAGAAGAATTTAATAGTTTAAACTGCAAGTTGTCAGCCCAAACACTCCGAGGCATGAATACATTGATTTCCCAAAAGTCCTCTCAACCAGTGATAAAAGCCAAGAAAACATGACATTTTACCTTTTGGACACGCCAAACAGTCTGACTCCGCTTTTCCAGGGGCTCTTGAAGGATCCACGTGAGTTCCCGGAGGGCATGTTTTGCAACCTGTTCCATAAGAGATGATTTCTTTTTGGGCCAAAGAGTCCTGACAGAACCCCACTAAATTGATAAATATGCTACATTTATTGATGGGAATAATACGACGAACTTGTAAAATATCTGCGCGTGTTGTCTGTAAACCATTAACTAGAGTGTATGCAATCATCTCAAGACCCCCCAACCATGTCTTGAGTGAAACTTGAAAGTGAAAAAGTTAAACATGCAATAAGTCGATGTTTTACCGGGAGGGCATGGAGTGCATCCTTCTTCGGTCTTGTAAGTGCCATAGCTGCACGGTGTGCATTCGAAAGTCCTAATGATGGAGTCCTGTGGTATTAATGCACAGGTATAACCAGTCTCTTCCAGGAATGCATTGGCTGGATAATCCAACATCAGAGCGGGTGGATTGGTAAGGCATGGCAAGCTTAGAAAAAGGCATAAAAACGATAGAGATTATTTGCTAATATACCAGGATCAGTTAGTGTGGTCACAAATATTCAAATTAACCAGTAAAAATTTGAATTAAAAAGAAATGTAACTGAATCTTGGACAAACTAAGCCCGTGAAATGTAAAAGTGCAGTAAAAGCTTAAGACTAATTTCTTTTACCTATTAACCATCGCATATTTTATTTACATTTTTGAGGGACAAGGATGGCGCAGTAATATGAGGGTGCTCGACTCAAACAATGTGGCACGAGTTCTAATTAAGGCTGGTGCCCTAGTTGGGTTGAGGTAGTTGTCGATTCTCGTTTTGCCCTTAGGTTCCTTCTCCCGGTATTCCGCTTTTCTACCTTCTCGAAAAACAACATTTTCCAAGTCCATGCAATTCTAGCTGGATAAAGGATCCACATGAAAACCAGC